TAATAGCTCCTTTTTCCATTAAAAGAAGCTTTGAAGAAAATGCAGTTAATTGCTAACATGTTGAACAGTATATATTCAATCTATTCAAGTGAGGGCACTCAATAAACAGACCTATTTATTTCTAAGTCTCATATACCTTATTTTTACTTGCTAGAACCAAAAGAGGATCAGACTAACTCTTCAGTTTGACATCAAGAAATATCCTACTCTTTATATTATGCAAAGACTGAACCAAAAATTGCTCCTACATAAGTTCTAAATCCTTTGATCTAACCATGTAGTTATTCTTGTAAAAAAAGAAAGTAAATTAGATATAGACAGACAGATAGATAGATATAGATAGATAGATATGTGGTCTTTCTGAAAAGTAAAAGGGCCTAGAGGTCAATTAGGTCATTGTTTGCTAAATTTCCCATATGTTAGAATCTGCTGGGGAGGTTTTGTTTTGCTTCACTTTTAATACTGATTCCTGGATCACACCTCCTTCTTAATTAGTCTCAATATTGAAAATTGTCTAGTGAGATGAGTGTGGAGAACATTCATTTATATTTTATGATCCTCAACTGACCACAATGAAGCCAGTTCCTACTTAGAAGTTCGAGGACAAGTGAATTTGGTCTCCTTATTGCTTCCTGGAAGAATAGCAACATTCTCACTCAAAGTCAATCAAAGGTATTATTAATCATACATATTCTTCTGGAAGGATATTTCCACCCTTCATTGCATTGATTTACAAATATCCTTTCCAGGAATTTCTGTCTTTGTTCAACACAAATGTGTAATAAATATAATCCATTTCTCATTTTCTGATGCCAGTGGATATCAAAACTAGATCACTAAATGCTGCATATATAAACCATGCTCCTCCCACCCTCCCCAATTCTCAGGCATTCTTTTAGTTTCTTTACATTTATACCTAATTGAAATCACTGTCTTTCTACTACTTAGGTGGATTGGAAAAGAAGTTTAATTTGTTTTGCAAAATAAAAGAGTTGACTTCTGATTCTAGCAAAGAAAAAGTAAAAGAAACCAGATCTCTGCCCGAACCAGTAACAACAGTCTCTTTCTTTCACTCTCGCTCTGGGTCTCTCTCCTCCCTCTCTCCTTCTTCCCTCTGATACATATGCCACATAGACACACATATGCATATATATAGTTCAAAACTATCCCACAAAGAAAAACGCTAGTTCAGTTTGCTGGTGAATTTTACCAAATACATAAGTAAGACCTTAATAATAATTCTACATAAACTTTTCCATGGAATTTAAATGAGGGAATACCTCCTAATTTATTTAATGAAGCCAAGATAAAGGTGGTATTAAACCAGACAGACACAGAGAAAGAGAAGAAAATACAGGTCAACATCTGTTGTGAACATTAACGTGAAATTTCTAAACAAAAATTTAGTAAGTTTCAGTCCAACAGAGGACCAAGGGATGTCAAAGGGATAAGACACTAGGATGAAACAGATGCTATCCCAGGAATTCATAACTGATTTATTGTTCAAAAATAATGTAATTTACTATATTAACAAAGTGGAAAGGAGAATATATACACACAAAAACAGACATTTAATTCTGATAACTCTCAGCAACTTTTCTCAGCCTGATAAAAGGCATCTATGAAAAATCTAGGGGTAATAATATCACCCTTAATGATGAAAGTCTGAAAGACTTTATCTGAAGATCAAGAACAAGACAAGGAGATAGAAAATTGTAAATATAATTGATAATAGTTTAGCAGAAACCTGGCAAGGATTCAGCATCATAAACAATTTTGTTGAAAGAAGATTATTTTTTTTCAAATACAGCAACTGATGACTTTAAATTTAATGGGACAACTAACTTGTAACTTGTTGTAATGGTTTGGTCTGTCTAGTCCCCTCTGATAACCTCAGGGCCGACTTCAAACTGTGGCTCAGACAGCATTTAGCGAAGTATGTCGAACCAAAGTTTTCCCACAGCAATTTGTTTTAAAAAATCAATAAATGATTAGAAAAAATTTAGTGTTTGTGTTAAAAATTTCTTCACTAGTAATAACTTTAGTAAGAATACAAAAGGGACTATTTTGAAATATTGATTTACTTTGATATATAAGCACTTATATAAATAACTACTAAAAATGTTGTTAAATATTTTGATTATTACCCCTTTTGCTAACCACTGAAATAATTGAATCATAAGTCAAAACTCTTCCTATGATAAAAAATCCTTTGTCAGATGGCAACTCCCATTAATTCCTGGAAAGCTTGAAACAGTGAATAATTTCAATGTTATACAATCTCTTCAGGATTTTTTAAATTGAGGAAAAATCCGCCATCTTTTAATGATAAGACAAGTTTAAGTACAAAATGTGCCATGATTAGTATGAGGAAAGCAAATAATGATCTATCTTGATGACAAATATATATATACAACAATTCTAAATAAAATCCAATAAAACCCATGCAAAGGGATCTCAAGATAAAACAAATTCAGATATAATGTAATTGGAAAATATTTTCCATTTTCTGTTCATCTGTTTTTTGAAACAAGCGGTGAGACCTCACAGGACTTATTTTTGGTGAGGGAAATAACAAAAGGAGGGGAGAGAAAACAAGACTCAACAGTATCAGAGACAACTTTATCTTGGGAGACAGGGAGGTGTCTGGGGCTTTGCACATTGCTGGTTATTACTAGCCAAGCTCCTCTCCTCAGGACCATCTGATGGGGATAGAAACCAGGTAACTAGGCAATAATTAGAATTTTTAACCATCATTCTGGAAGTTCCACTCTACCATAGAACCTAGAATCTTTGTCGTGGTATTTAGTCAGACAACAGCCACCAGATGGCAGAAAACTGCAGCTGGATCAAGCCTTTGCTTCTGGAGCCAGAATCCCCCAGGAATCCTTAACAGTCCTGCACATCCTTGCCTGCATCACGTCATTCTATTTCTTTTTTAAACTGTTTCCTCATATTTTATAAACTCTTTTTCTTTATCAATTAACTGTTAAGAGAAAATAATTTTTTAGTCAAAGTGAGACTCTAAGCCTTTGGAAAGACTCACTGAAAATTTGGTGTAGTCTTTGTTAAGGAGACATTCACTTGCTATGGCAGGAAACAAAATAAACAGACAGACCCATTTAAACACAACAGAAAATGTGACTCAGCATAGAGAAATATATGATTCTCACAAGTGTGATCTGACTTTTAAGAAAGTAATAAACTTTTCTACATATGGACATATAAAGAATATAATTTAAATATCTATAAAGTTATAGTGACTTCTATTTCTTATCTGTTAAGTGATACAAAAATATTTTCTGGAAAAATTCCATTACATTCCATATCATTTGTTTATATATAAGAATAACTGACAGTTATGTATAATCTAAGAAGGCTCAGAGAACAATACTATCTCTAAAAGTAAAAGATGAATTTGAATAATTTGTTGAATCTTAAAGATTGAAAGGGGAAAATTGATACACTTGCTAATTACAGACACAAACGATGCAACATAGGCTTATACTTCTGAAAGATGGAAATAGCAGAAGTATTATTTTCCTCTAAAATGACATAAAAAAATGGAGCATACATACAAAATACAAAAAATGACTTTAGTGGGTAAAGTGAAGTGAAGCAAAAGTGAAGACTAGAGTGAAGTGAAGTAAATAGATTTTTTAAATGAATGTAAGTGAAATATACTACCTTCATTTAAGAGAATTACATTTGTGATAATGGAAAGAGAACTTGATTTATAAAAAATCATAGCTATAAGAGATTTCATATCAAAACTGAAATTCAAAGTATAATATATATTGTGGATGATATACCACAATGTAGGTAAATACAATGAATTTGAGTTTTCTAAATTATGTTTGGTAGTTGAAGAAAAATTACAGTGCAGTCTTCTGTAGTTCTAAATGTATAATATATAGATTAAATATTTTAAAAATTGATTTTAAATGAGAGAGGGTAAACAAGTATAAAGAGAATAAATTCCTATAAGTAGACACAAATGATACATGCAATTTAAGGTTATATTTCTCAAAGTGAATTGGTACTTATTTATTTAATAGCAAAATACCAAAAATAAAAAAGGAACACAGAACAAAGACATTTAAATGGCAAAAGTAAAGAACAATAACAGATCTTTACAATTAATGTAAGTGAGATAATCTCCCTTATTTCAAAATATGGTGTCTACTGTATATGTGGAGTGGGAGGAGAAGTTTAAATTTTTCAAAGTCACAGCTATAAAATGCTATAGTAAAAAGTTTAAAATCAAAAATTTTATAAGACACACCAGATAAAAATTTTAAATAAATACATAGCTCATCACAGTGACGTAGACATTCTCTTTGTCGCTCTCCTTCAATCTACAATCACTAAAGTGAAGCGAAAGTTAAAGTCACTCAGTCATATCCAACTCTTTGCTACGCCATGGACTATAAAGTACATGGAATTCTCCAGGCCCAAATACTGGAGTGGGTAGCCTTTCTCTTCTCCCAGGGATCTTCCCAACCCAAGGACTGAACCCAGGTCTCCCGCATTGCAGGTGGATTCTAAAACATTCATAATTCAAATGTGCCTCTGTCCAACACACCAGGACACACCAGAGAATTCCACATATAGGCACATCTAAAGATGGGTGAACTGGAAACAGAGGAGGCAGAGCCAGGACGAAGCAGGGTTGGTGCCCCTAGCTAGGCTCGCAGTCCCAGAGAGCCCAGGAAAGGCGGCACACAGGACTCAGGCCTCCAGGATGCAAGAGCAACCGCAGCCACAAGAAAACAGGCAGCGGCCGAGCTGCGACCCCATTTCTTTAGCCATAGAGGCATCCGTGACTCTGGCCCCTTGCCCACCCACAGCAGCTCCTGTGAACTCAACGACTCCAGACGTCGCTGAGGAACCTGTGACCATAGCTCCCCCGACACTTCTGTCCTCTCCCTGGGGTGGTGGAGCTGTCATCCCAGGAGACCACAGAGGTAGCCGAGGGGACAGCCAGACCAGAGCCCCGGATGCAACATCCACCACCGCAGCGGCAACACCAGCCGCAGTGGCGAGGCGCAACTGACCCCAGAGGCACACGCGGTAACAATGAAGGCAGCAGTGGTGGAAGGCGGAAAGTGCCAATCCTATCACATAACCAGAGGCAGCTCAGGTAAGAGAAATGGAAAACTGGTGCTACAGTACCATCTACTGAACACAACAAGAGGAACACCTCTAATTATTAACCTGTTGAATCATTATAATCAGGTTGCCAAAAAAAAAAAAAGCAGCTCTGCCTAAGGATGAAAGATGTTCATTACGTCAAGTGCACTAGCAGAGAAACAGCTCATCAAGCACCATGAAAAACCACCGTAACACAGTAGCACAAAGTTAAAGTGACAGTTCTCCAGAAACCCAACCTGAAGCCACTTCATTTGTTACATAAACGCATTTCTGGTTTCAACAGAGACATGTTCTTTAAAAGACATAAATGTAACTAAAGCATCTAAAAGAAAACAGAAAAAACAAATGCTTATTTCAGAGAATAAACAAATATGAGACAGTCTCATGAATGGATACGATTCCTTACCTATTCCTTGGAATAGAGTAAACGCTTTCAGTTCAGTTCAGTCACTCAGTAGTCTCGTTGCGACCCCATGAATTGCAGCACACCAGGCCTCCCTGTCCATCACCAACTCCCGGAGTTTACTCAGGCACATGTCCATCAGGTCGATGATGCCATCCAGCCATCTTATCCTCTGTCGTCCCCTTTGCCTCCTGCCCCCAATCCTTCCCAGCATCAGGGTCTTTTCCAATGAGTCAACTCTTCGCATCAGGTAGCCAAAGTATTGAAGTTTCAGCTTCAGCATCAGTCCTTCCAATGAACACCCAGGACTGATCGCCTTTAGGATGGACTGGTTGGATTTCCTTGCAGTCCAAGGGACTCGCAAGAGTCTTCTCCAACACCACAGTTCAAAAGCATCAATTTTTAGGCACTCAGCTTTCTTTATAGTCTAACTCTCACATCCATACACAACCACTAGAAAAACCATAGCCTTGACAAGACAGACCTTTGTCAGCAAAGTAATGTCTCTGCTTTTTAATATGCTATCAAGGTTGGTCATAACTTTCCTTCCAAGGAGTAAGCGCCTTTTAATTTCATGGCTGTAATCACCATCTGCAGTGATTTTGGAGCCCCCAAAAATAAAGTCTGACACTGCTTCCACTCTTTCCCCATCTATTTCTCATAAAGTGATGGGTCAGATGCCATGATCTTAGTTTTCTGAATGTTGAGCTTTAAGTCAACTTTTTCACTCTCCTCTTTCACTTTCATCAAGAGGCTTTTTAGTTCCTCTTCACTTTCTGCCATAAGGGTGGTGTCATCTGCATATCTGAGGTTATTGATATTTCTCCTGGCAATCTTAATTCCAGCTTGTGCTTCTTCCAGCCCAGAGTTTCTCATGATGTACTCTGCATATAAGTTAAATAAGCAGGGTGACAATATACAGCCTTGACGTACTCCTTTTCCTATTTGGAACCAGTCTGTTGTTCCATGTCCAGTTCTAATTGTTGCTTCCTGACCTGCATATAGGTTTCTCAAGAGGTGGGGCAGCTGGTCTGGTATTCCCATCTCTTTCAGAATTCTCCACAGTTTATTGTGATCCACACAGTCAAAGGCTTTGGCATAGTCAATAAAGCAGAAATAGATGTTTTCCTGGAACTCTCTTGCTTTTTTGATGATCCAGCGGATGTTGGCAATTTGACCTCTTGTTCCTCTGCCTTTTCTAAAACCAGCTTGAACATCTGGAAGTTCATGGCTCACATATTGCTGAAGCCTGGCTTGGAGAATTTTGAGCATTACTTTAGTAGCGTGTGAGATGAGTGCAATTGTGCGGTAGTTTGAGCATTCTTTGGGATTGCCTTTCTTTGAGATTGGAATGAACACTTTACCAACTATGAAATCAAGCAATTCATGAATAATCAACAGTATGAAAAGAAGCAAATATTTGTCTAACAGGAAGTAATTCTGCAACATAGATCCCATTTCCTCACTGTTTAGATCATGATTTAAGCTTGCTAAGACGAACAAGTATTAGGGGGGCAGGGATGCAGCTTCTCTCTCTTTAGTTCTCTGTATTGATTAAACCAACAAACATAGCTGCAAAGGGTCCTGAGAGAACCTCTTTCCTGGGGAGAAAAATCAGAGTAGTAGTCATTCCCTCTGCAAGGGACCTAAATGCCTCTCTGACCAGTGTACTGCATCATAAAGCAAAAAAATGAAAACGAGAGAAGTAATTCCTCAGCAGACCTTCGGAAAACCAGCAAGGCTCGGGATCGGGCACCTGGCTCAGCTCCTCCGACGCCGCCTGGACTGAGGAGCCGGCGCAGTGATGCCGCGCTTGGAGGCCCAGAAGGCGGGCCTCGTGCTGGATGGAGCAGGCGGCCTGATGCTGATGCTCAACGTGACCGGACGGCTGTGGCAGCTCCCGCCGATTATCTCGGCCTCCAGGAGGCGAACCTGTGGCTGCAGGACGACAAGCTGCGGCTGCGCAGGCTCTGCGGCTTCCTGGACGCCGCCGACCGGCACAAGGCGGGCAGCGCGCGACCTGTGGCGGCGTTGTGGGCGCCTCGTTGCCTGCGCCTGCGGCACGAGGTGGCCCCGCGAGCCCCCGAAGCTGCGGGAACTCGAGGCGCGCCGGGAGGCCCTGCTGGGCAGGACCCTGGAGCTCATGGAGCCCTGCTGCTGCCGCTGCCGCTGGACCAGGAGGAGCGGGGACGCGGGCGGCGGCACCGGCTGCCACAGATCGAAGGACTGCCGGGCCGGCTTGAGCGGGCGGTAGGCGGGCGGCGCGGGCTAAGGCAGCAGGCCGAGCGCCGCAGCGGCGGAGGCCCAGGCCGCTACCCACGCTTCCCGGCCCTGCTGCTGCCCCCTCAGGCCGCACGAGGACCCCCGGAAGACAAGGCCGTCACCCCGCACACGTCCCTGGACGACCCACCACTGAAGCGTGCTCTATGGCCCGCGCGGTAAGGACGGCACCGGCCGGGCAGCGCGGGTCTCTTGACCACAACCCCTTTCCCCCACGGGTGGCCCCCACTCCAGACCCCTCCTCCAGCTCCGGACGGGAAGATCCCAAGTCCATCTGAAGTGGGGCTTTGAGTGGTGATTTCCTGGCTAAGTGATGGAGGCGTGGAATTCGCAGTGGACCCGGTAGTTGAGTCCGAGACGCTGGAAGTCTAGGGCTGGCTGGAGGCGCCACATCCCAGCCTGGAAACCCTTGTCTGGGAGCCGGCAGTTTTTCATGGGTGGGTGGAGGCGTGGGGGGGTGGGGGGGGGAGATGCAAGGCTATTCCATTTGCGCAAATGTGGAATTTCCTGCCTTATTTGTTGCGACCTGCTGCCCCAAACCTGAGCAGCGTCCATGTGTGTATGAATCCCAGCCGGGCTTCTCGGTGCTGCCTGCCTGCTGGGAGCCCAAGAAGCTGGGCCAGAGGACCAGGGCCAAGAGCCTTCCTGGTCGGCCTTTAGTCCTGCCCTTCTCAGGGTCCAGGGACCTTTCTCAACCGAGGTTCTAAGACTTCACAGAGGAATATGTGCTTGGAATGGGTTCTGGCTTTTGGTCTCCGCGTGCCTGAGTTTCCTTCTCTGTAGAATGGAGACGATGATTCCTACACCTGTATTTAAGGTGGATAAAAGTGTCTGAAAGGATTTGTAGACTGTTGGTCACATGGCTCAGATGGTAAAGAATCTACGAGCAATGCAAGAGACCTGGGTTCGATCCCTGGGTCAGGAAGATACCTTGGAGGAGGAAATGGCAACCCACTCCAGTATTCTTGCCTGAAGAATCCCATGGACAGAGGAGCCTGGTGGGCTACAGTCCATGGGGTCGCACAGATTCGCACACTGGAAAGTGAGTGACTAACACTCACTTTGCCAGAAGCCCCATGATTGCCAGCTGCCAAGGTGGGGGTGGGAGGACTTGTAAGCCTCAGGAAAGCTGGGCCTTCTCCCATCCCCCCAGTGGCTGTTGGGAAGATCAGAGGGGCCCCATTCCCAACCCCTCTGGGTCAGTGCTCCTCCTGGCCACCTCGCTCCTCTCCTGCTTTCCTGTCCTTCCATAGTTTGGGGGGCTTAGCTCCTCCTGGTGGCAATTAACTGCTGCCTCAGCTATTTGCCTGAAGGTAGAGATTAAACCGGAGAAGGCAATGGCAACCCACTCCAGTACTCTTGCCTGGAAAATCCCATGGACAGAGGAGCCTGGTAGGCTGTGGTCCGTGGGGTGGTGAAGAGTCGGACACGGCTGAGTCACTTCACTTTCACTTTTCACTTTCATGCGTTGGGGAAGGAAATGGCAACCCACTCCAGTGCTCTTGCCTGGAGAGTCCCAGGGACGGGAGAGCCTAGTGGGCTGCCATCTATGGGGCTGCACAGAGTCGGACATGACTGATGCGATTTAGCAGCAGCAGCAGAGATTAAACAGCCCTTTCTGGTTCTGTTTGAAGCCTTTCCTAGTTCAGAGAAAATGGATCTAGGCCTGCAGTGACTGTTGTTCCCCCGAGTGACAGCCTGAGGATGGGATGGGAACTGGACCCTCTCTCTCGGGTTGGATGGCCAAGTGGTCTCTGCAGGTGCCTTGTGTAGCGGACAGGGGTACTAGCCCCGAGAAGGTCGGGTGCTAGCCCAGCACAGTTTTTGCTTTACCTTCTCAGTCTGTCAGTTCAGGGAAGGACTAGGGTTAGAGGGATATTTTATTACTGATTAGCAATCTAAGGCTACAGTTTGGTTTTCTCTTTATAACTCTGTGTACACCCTTCATCCCACTTCTGGCTCCTTCAGGCCAGAGAGAATAGCTCAAAGTGAAGTTTTTTGATGCATTAGGGCTGGGCAGTCTAGGAGTGAGAAGTCCTAGTCCCAGCTTCAGTGAACTCACTGGTTGGGGGTCCTTGGGAGGGTCAGATTTCTGGGCCTCAGTTTCCCCAAGCACAGTATGATACTGGGGATCACTGCAGTACTGTGGCTGGAAAACGAAATGTTTCTGGCTTTTAGCTGCATTGACAGGTGACTGGTGATTCAGGACCTGATTCTCTGCAGGGCAGTGAAGTGCTGGAGTGTGAGAGCATATTTGCAGAGAAGTTCTGTCATGTTTTGGACAAGGAGACGCAGACCCTCTCTGGCTCAGGGTTTTGCCGCTGCAGTGCATGGTGTAGGAATTGAGGATTGGGCTTGACCTAAGGTTTCCCACCTCGCTGGACAATGAGTAAAATGGAGCTGTCTGGTTTCCTGCAGGATCCAAGTCCCATGCACACTCAGCAGGACTGCCACAGATGTCGTGGTGGCAGAGCTTTGGGTTGAGATGAAATAGAGAGTCAGCACGATGATCACAAGTTTCAGCTACAGGTGGAACTGCTGCTGTTTAGTTCTGTCTGAAAGTTCTATGTGGCCTTGAGACGTTCTCCCAATGACTGCGAGTAGGAGGCCTGGAAACAAGGAAGGGCCCTCCTCTTAGGGACCACTTTTCTGTACTTGGACTTGTAGTTTGAAGGTGAGTGGAAAGCAAGCTGGAGGTGAGAAAGCTGACAAGCCTCGATCTGGGTGCTGGCAAAGGTGGAGTCAAATACCAGGCTTGTGCCATATGTGCTTGCTGTTAGCTCATCCTCACAAAAGCTCTGGAAAGCAGTAGTATTTCCATTTCACAGCCAAACATCTGGAGGCTCAGAGAGGTTCTGAGCATCTCCTGGGAGAAAAAATTGAGATTGAAGTGTCTTAGTTCCAACTGCCTGGCTGGGGCTCCCAGGGATTCTCTACTGCTCAGGCTATGGGTGGGCTTCCTTTTCTGACTTGTTGCCCTTTTGGCCAATAATATTAATCAGCAGACACTAGGTGACTCCCCGTTCTTGATTCCTGACCCAGGTTTGCCCTTCTTCCACCCTGAAAGTGTCACTTCCTTATCTGTGACCACTGAGCAGATGATTGATAATTGCACTACCCAGAAAGGTCAGGCTGTCTTGTGTTCCGATTTCCACTCTTCCTCTCCTTTCGGGCAACTTACTTCACTTCCCTAAGCCTCTCTCTGTTCTTCTTCTGTAAAGTGGAGCAGCACCTACAGTGTCCCCTTTATCCACGCAGGATCAGGGGAGGTCAGGATCTGCACACAGTCAGCCTCAACAGTTGTCAGTACCTTAGTCATTCACAGTCTTTACCAGGCTCCTCAGGAAAAAAGATAGGGACCCACGGGGGTTTGCCAAATGGACATCACTGTTCTCTTTGAAACTTGGTTTGCTTGCTGTTTGGACAGACAGCTTGCTTCATTTTCCAACCAAGCCAGTGTCTGGCTGCACCTGCCCCTGGGATAGGGAATAATGACCCTGTAGTCCTTCCTTGAGGTGCCTTAAAAGACCCAAAGTGGCTATCGTGGCAGGTGGCCCCTCGGTATTCCAGGCAGTCCCTCACAGGGACTGGGCCTGGCTGCAAATGGGCCTTTCCCCTGGCTGTTTCATTTGACAGATATCTGGGTTGGGCTGACTAGTCTGGACTTGGATGCTCTTTGCTCTAGTCCAGGGGGCAGACAGGGGCAGGCAAACCCCAAACACCAGAAAGTCAGGTGCATCACTTTGAACTGATTTTCAAACAAAAGTATTTTCAACAATTACTCCCCTTCCACTCCCCCAGATTGAATATGGTTCCCTGTGTGTTACAATAGGACCCTGTTGTTTATTTATTTTATATACAGTAGTTTATATCTGCAGATTAATAGATATTTTTAAATTCATATATATCACTTTATTATACTCAAAATAGTTTTATTTTAAAAATTATCATTTCTGATGTTAAAAAATAGTATTTGCTATGTCCATTTTAGTATTAGAAGGATTTGTAGTGCTATCTCCTTTTCATTCCTGACACTTGTGATTCAGTGTTGCTGTATTTGTTAAGCTGGCTAGGGTTTTATGTATCTTACTAATCCTTCAAAAACTCAGTGTTAAGCCTTGTAAATATCCTATAGTATATATTTCTATTTAACTAATTTTGGCCTTTATTATTTACCTTGTTTTATTTTGTTGTACTTTTTTTGCACCGACTGTTTTCTCCTTCACATAATTAAGATGGATAATATATTTATGTTCCTTTCTTACTCATTTATAGTAGTTACTTCTGGGTTTTGTATATCCCACTAAGTATAATACTTCTTTTTCTGTACCCTAGAAATTTAGGTATATCAAAATTTATTACAACTTAGTTCAAACTAGATAAAAAGATAGTTTGATTTCTTTTTTACCCACGGTCTTTTAGGCAGTATTTATTTCTAACATGCACACTTTCTATTTGTCTATTTGTTATTAATTTCTATATTAAGTTGACCAGGATCAAAGAACATACACTGAATGATTTCAGTCTTTGAATTTATTGATAATTCATCCCATTTATTGTTATTTCCAGTAAGTTTTTCTTAGACATTTATAAACAGTAACATGTTGTTATTGCTAATGGTATTGTGGGAAGTTTAGGAAATGAGAAAAAGTATAGTGAGTTTTGTTATACTTTATGGATTAGATCCCAAAGCTCCTCTCCAAGTTCTTTCTAGTTGGAGATGTTAAAAAGTTAAAATGTCTCCTGCAACTAAGATTCTTGACACAGAACTTTACAACCAATTGTAATAGATCCATACAGACTTGGGATTTGGGAAGACACAGTGTGTTTTGGATCAATGTTCCATTCATTTTGACTTTTTCTACTGGTTAGGAAGTTATGGAAACATGAAGGCTTTTCTCTGAAGCCTTGTTGAACCTCTAACTTCCTAGGGAATCTATTTTGATGGATAAGAAAGTACTGACATATTTTTGCTGCTGTGTATATGATCCTTGGATCACAGTCAACAATATTGTTCTTAAACCATACCTACAATGGTAGCCTCACTTTGTGAATTAATTCTATGTTTTTCTAAGAGTCATTGCAAGAGTTTCAGCTAGAAGTTCATTCTGCCTTTCCAAGTTTCATAGGCTTCGTTCACCTTAATTATTAACATTTTCCTGTTTAAAATTCCTAAACTTCTTTCTTTTTCTATACTGACCAAACTCTTAATGATACAAGAGGGAGGGGACAGAGAGTTGATTCACTTTGCTGTATAGCAGAAACTAGCACAACATTAAAAATCAATTATGTCCAAAAAAGAGATTGCAATAACTTATGGAAATATTTAGGAAAAATGGCATCCTTGTATTAGGCTTGTTAAATAGAATATAATGTCTCTGGTTTTAATATAGTCTTTCAGTCACAGAGTAGCTATTAAGGAATTTTTAAATATTAGCCCTGATCTCTTACAAATGTTTTTACTAGAGATTTTAAAAATAATTTTATTGAATACTATCATTTATTCCATGATATTTTTAACTAATTAGTATTTAAACATACAAACTCATAAAATTAGCAAAGCCTTATTTTACTTTGAGTTTGTGATTCAGATGGAATTTGTGTACCAAGAAGTATATCTACATCAGAGAGTATAGGAAGACCAAAATTTGGAGTGAATTTTTGCCTTTTACAACCCTAGCTCATGTAATTTATTAAATATTAAATATTTATTTATCTAAAACACTTTTCATAGAGTACAGACTTTTCAATCTGTTTCCTTCTGCCTATTGACTTGGCTGCTGTGACAATGACCAGAAAGTTTTTCTTTGTCGATGTTCTCATAGAAGACAGCCCTGGAGCCTGCACTTATGTCTCCATAATTGATTTTGCTATTACTCCTCTCCCAGTGGAATCCATCACAGGGGATGAGCAAAACCTCAAGGCTGAAATATCCTGAAGAAGGTTTCACAGGCTTAAAAATAACTAAGGCCATCATAAACACCATTGTTGATACTCCAGCTCACGATCATGAACTCTGGACGACACAGGGTTGCTTAAATATGCAAGCATACCCCATTATTCTTATTGTATGAGGTACAGAGCATACTAGAATTAAGGAGATGAACTCCCTATGTGTTTTTCCTTAGGTTTACTTCCCCTAACTAAAGAGTGAGATCCCTTGAATTGATGCAGCCTTGGTAGAAAGGCTAGGTAGAAAGGCATTCATTGCACTGTAAGGACTGGAATGTTCATCAGTTTCTCTCTCTCTGCTTCAAAAAGAGGGCTAAATGATTATGACATTTTAAAAATTAACTATTATAGAAATGAAATATTATGATGAGGAATATAAATGCCTGTATTTGGGGGAATGGCTTTGATCTGAGGAAACGAACATATATTTGGAATAGCTTTAGAGAATTTTGTTATATCTAGTCTTAGCAATTTTTGCTGTTAATTTAACATATCAATAACTTATCTATTTCTATTATGTTTTCAAAGATGGATACAGTTATAGCAGAAATAAATAAATTGATATGTAATAAGGTTAAAATATTTTCAATATATTCATTACTGTTATTACCATTGTATTGTGATTAAAACAAGGATTGCACTATCATAATGGCTACAAACACTATCATTGATATTATATGTGCCGATCCTGTTTTAGATAATGTATAATATTCCTAATTTAGATTGCTATGTAATACTCCTATTTTAGATAAGCATAAATTTTAACTATAAACATATTGAAATAAAAACTCAGAATGTGAGTAAAATTACACAGGAAAATATGCTACTTTCTTGTTTACTTCCCTGAAAAAATATGATTTAAACAAAATAACCAAAGGACTTCCTTTACTACTTAATAGACTAACAGTTTCAGAAGTCTAATGACATCTAATCCCTAATCTTGCATCTTCTTGACAATAAGATTGTTTTGTATGCAATATCTCATTAAGTTGTTAATCATATATATCTACATTTAAGACAGTATTGATAGCACTAGAATCAAAGCCACAGTTTCATTTATTTTGCCTTGTGCCTCTCAGCAGGTTTCTGCCATGGGTGACATGGGAACGACCAACCACTCAGAAGTGACCGACTTCATTCTTGTCGGCTTCAGGGTCCACCCAGAGCTCCACATTCTCCTCTTCCTGATATTTTTGCTTGTCTACGCCATGATCCTCCTAGGAAATATTGGCATGATGGTCATTATTATGACTGACCCTCGGCTGAACACACCAATGTATTTCTTCCTAGGCAACCTGTCCTTCGTTGATCTCTTCTATTCTTCTGTTATTGCACCCAAGGCTATGATCAACTTCTGGTCTGAGAGCAAGTCCATATCCTATGCAGGCTGTGTGACCCAGCTCTTTCTCTTTGCCCTCTTCATTGTGACTGAGGGGTTTCTCCTGGCAGTCATGGCTTATGACCGCTTCATTGCCATCTGCAACCCACTCCTCTACACGGTCCAGATGTCAACACGTGTCTGTGTTCAGTTGGTGGCTGGTTCCTATTTTTGTGGCTGCATCAGCTCAGTTCTTCAGACCAACATGACATTTACTTTATCCTTTTGTGCTTCTCGGGCCATTGACCATTTTTACTGTGATGACCGTCCACTTCAAAGATTGTCTTGCTCTGACATCTTCATCCATAAACTGATTTCTTTCTGTTTATCTGGCATCATTATCTTGCCTACCATCATAGTTATCATTGTTTCTTATTTGTACATTGTGTCCACAGTTCTAAAGATACCCTCCACCGAGGGACGTCAGAAAGCCTTCTCCACTTGTAGCTCCCACCTGGGAGTCGTGAGTGTACTCTATGGTGCTGGCTCTTTTATGTATCTCACTCCTGACAGATTTCCTGAGCTGAGTAAAGTGGCCTCCTTGTGTTACACCCTCGTCACTCCCATGTTGAATCCTCTGATTTACTCTCTGAGAAACAAAGATGTCAAAGAAGCTCTGAGGAGGATCCTGGGGGGAAATATATTTTTATTTATTTCTGTTTAACAGTAATATACCTGGAAGACATAGGCTTTATAACAACTTGGGGAAGCACTAACTCAAAAATGCACCCATTGATCTTAGAAATATTTACTCTTAGAGAGTTAGTTTATTTGAATACCATGTACTTAAAACCAAAGAGTACATTTGGAATATATTTTGTCTGGCTGTTGATTTTGGAGTGAATGAAAAGACTTCCTCTGTACTTCATCTTAATTTTGGGTAAAAATAATTATTACCATGTAATTTTATTTTAGGGAAAATATATTCCAAATTTGCTTGTCTCTCTGAGATTGCTTCTTTTACATGTATTGTTAATCTTGAGTCAGTAACATGTGTTATTTGGATATGTATGCAGTTGATAGAGGTAATCTGATGTAATAAGATTGATCTGATGTAATAAGCAAGAGAGAACAAAATATGAGATTTACTGGAGAAATCTTCATGAATGTTTAGTGAGAGAATCAGATGCTCTGAAGTGCACAGAGTCTGATGGGAGACTTGTATGTAACTTAATTGTTCAGAGGCTATGTGAGTAACACATTTATTTCATGGTTTCTCTGACTTGAATCATTATTATTTCTCCCCCTCATCCAAAGATCTGCTAGACTGATAAATTACTTTTGAATATTCTCCCTTTTCAAAAGAACACTGTAATAAAAATAAGCAGGAATAAACATAATTTATATTTTGTTAGACATACCTTACTATTCATTCATCAAATTAACATTTATTGAATTTTGATATACTGTTTGCCCTAAAAAATTCTTAGGTGTAAATAATTTCTGTACTTGAGCTCACAAATTGAGGGGGAAATAGCTGAATAGAGAGCTAACATGTCATATGGTCAACCCAGTGAATAAAGGAATATGCAGAAAATATCAAAAGAGAGCAGCTTTTATAGATAAGTGACCTAAATAATCAGGGAAAACTTCAAAAGTACATATTAAAACATACGCGGGTGTGAGCAAGATGAAGCACAGAAGTTTTTGTGCAAAAGAAATTAAATAACTATATTAAGCTCCCTAAAGTTTGACACCTGGTTGTTAATGTGCAAGAAAGGGAGTGAGAGGTAAGACTTAAAAGGAAATTCATGGAAATTGTGCACACATAAAACAAAGAAGTTGACCTTTATTCTATAGGGAGCGGGGAAGCACTGGGGATATTTTTAAAAGGTTATATCATTTTCAAATTGGCATTTTATAAAAAATCACACTGGTAACTTCTATAAATATTCATAGAAGAAGATAATCAATGAAAGTGTGTGATTGTCCAAGAAAGAGGTTTTGGTGGCTAGAACAATGGCAGTCTTCTAGGAGACAGTGAAGAGGGGGAATATCTTTAAAGCCATGAATAACTGAGCTGAATATTAATTGATGGTTGGTAAAATGAGAACTGGGTAGAAGTGAATAGTGACTTCTAATGTTTGAGCATCTTTCACTGGGGAAATGCTACCTCATAATATGAAGAGAAAATAGGGGTAATATTGTTAATCATTAAGAAAATAAAATCAGGTCAGACTGAGCATTCAAATCCTGGTTTTACCTATGTGCTCCATATTCAACTGTATTGACTTTGCAGTAACTCTTGTTTCTCAGTTTAATAAAAGATTCAGTTCAGTTCAGTCACTCAGTCATGTCTGACTCTTTGCGACCCCATGAATCACGGCACACCAGGCCTCCCTGTCCATCACTAACTCCCGGAGTTTACTCAAACTCATGTCCATCGAGTCGGTGATGCCATCCATCCATCTCATCCTCTGTCATCCCCTTCTCCTCCTGCCTCCAATCCCTCCCAGCATCAGGGTCTTTTCAAATGAGTCAACTCTTCGCATGAGATGGCCAAAGTATTGGAGTTTCAGCTTCAGCATCAGCTCTTCCAGTGAACACCGAGGACTGATCTCCTTTAGGATGGACTGGTTGGATCTCCTTGCAGTCCAAGGGACTCTCAACAGTCTTCTCCAACCCCACAGTTCAAAAGTATCAATTCTTCGGCGCTCAGCTTTCTTTATAGTCCAACTCTCACATCCATACATGACTACTGGAAAAACCATAGCCTTGACTAGATGGACCTTTGTCTATTGGGCAAAGACCCTGTGCCTGGGATTTAGGTGAGCTGGAATTAAAAAGAATTAGGAGCCTCTTTCATTGAAGGCTTGTTCCATTTAGGACCCAATGTTGCATGAAAGATTCTGTACTTTATGCCCAAAGACTCTGTACTTCAGTAAAATATGCTTAAGTAACTTCTTAAAGAGCACACTCGTCTAAAACATTATTACTTCTTTACTTATCTTTTGATATTGCATTTATAATTATAGCTGATTATAGTGTCACAACTAGTAAGATTTTCTTTATTTAAATGATAGTGTTCATGGTATTGAATCCTCACCAGATGCTACTACACTAACAATAATTATGTTTAAAAGTTTTACCCTACTTTTAATATTCAGATTTTATATAAGAAATATCTAAATAAACCAGTTAATAATAAGTGTTATTTATTATTCAAATAATAAACACATATCATATTATAAATAAGTAAAGAGTAAATTTTCCATTTCCTTGTGCTTTCTATTTTTCAGGTGAAAATGAAAACTTCATTCAAAAAAAAAAAATTTCTGAGTCTTTGTTCTAAAATGGAAATCTTTGAATCTAAAAAAGATATACTCATTTTTGTTCCAAACGCTTTATTGAGGAATAATTGGTGTGAAATAAACATTCAAAGTACACCATTCTGTGAGTTTTGGCATCAATAAAAACACCACCACATTAAGATGCTGAACACTACCTTCATTTGCAAAAGTTTGATTATGCCTTCTTTCAGTCCATGCTTCCCTCTAAACCTGTCTGCAGATAACCAATGATCTGAACAATGTATAATGAAATCATACAGTATGGGCCTTTTCTCTCAGGCTTCTTTCACTGAGTAAAATTATTTTGAGATGTGTTCATTTTGTCATATATAAGTAACTCATTCTTTTTATTGCTTAGTAGTATTCCATTTTCCAGTGTGCAAATTTTGTTTATGAACTCTTAAATGAGCAGTTGATATGTGTGCAGTTTTTAGATACTGTGAATAAAGCTGGTATGTGTTCATATGTATTTGCCTAGATTGTTTTCCTTTATCTTTGGTAAATTTAGAGGATTGAGATGCTTAGATCTTATAATAAATACATGTTTGACTTTTGAAAAGACAACCAAGGAAACATCTGGAAATGAAGAAAGAAGAAACAAAAAAATGTTACCCAACAAAATCTACTAAGTCTCAGGAAGAGAAAATCTATGACATTTGAGCCAGGACCCACTCCCTCCCTGCCCTCTCTCATTCCAACAAAGGTGAAAGGGCAGTCGGGCAAGTGCAGGCAGGAACACAGAGATCCCTCTGCCCCTGGATCCCCGTCAAAGGTTACCATGCCCCCTTGATTGTAGTTGCTGCAACCATTACTTCTCCCCTCCAGCTCCACACTGAAGAAGCTCTATTCAAGGCTAGAGTTGCTGATACGTCTGATGAGCTCTACCCAGCTCTCATTCATAGGGTAAACACTCTACCCTTAGCATGCCAGGCCAGGAGTATTACTGCTGCTCCAGTCTCCCCAAAGACAGACGTGCAATACTCAGAAGACCATAGGCTACTGACCTTACCCAGAAACCTGCTCCTCAAGCAGTATCTTCTTGCCTGTTCAATCAGTCCCAGCCCCTGTAGGCCAGCTGTTGCTCTATACTACTGTGCTTTTCATACTTTTAAGATACTGTTCTATAAGATTTTAAATGTTTTCTTTATTTTTATGTATGTTTTTATATGTTATTTGTTGAAAAGTATCCTAAACCTATTAGAGTACAGTACTATGTAACTGACTGTATTAGTTGAGTACCTAGGCTGACTTTGTTGGACTTACAAACAAACTGAACTTACTAATGCACTCTAGGAACAGAGTTTCATTAGTATGTAGGCAACTTACTATACCTTAGCTTAAAAACACACTGGAGGGATTCAGCGGCACATTAGAAGTGCAGAAGATTGGAGCAGTGACCCTGTGGATGAAACTTCAATTAATAATCAAGTCAGAAGAAAAAAGAGAATTTTATTTGAGGTTTATAATCTGAGAGACAGTTACAATGCTAGCATCAGAAGAAAGGAAGATGATCTTTCTGGACAAGCAGGCATTCCCATCTTTGAGGACCTCTGGTTAATGTGTAGGGGCTTCCCATGTGGAACGAGTGGTAAAGAACCTGCCTGCCAGTGCAGGAGACATAAGAGGCATGGGTTCAATCCTTAGGTCAGGAAGATTTCCTGGAGGAGAGCATGGCAAGCCACTTTAGTATTCTTGCCTGGAGAATCCAATGGACAGAGGAGCCTGGTGGGCTACAGTCTATAGGTTAATGTGTATTGCAGATGCACACTGCATATTAGTGAGGGAAGGAGGAGGCCAAATAGACACACAGAGAGAATTTTGTGTCTATTTTTTCTTGTCCTGCCTTCAAATATAAATTTTATCTCATCACCTGGAACGCAAGGGCAGAAAAATTCATAAAAAGTGTATATTAAAAAGTGAAGAACATGTAAGAACATCAAGCAGAGTAAAACACATATTTCCAGAAGGAAAAGAATGAGAGAAAGAGGGATAAAGCTATATGAAGAAGTAATGGCTGAAAATGTGCATAATCTGAAGAAGGAAACACACATCCAGGTGCAGGAAGCAGAGAGTTTCAAGTTAGTTAAATGAAAAGAGAACCACGCCAAACACATTATAGTTTAAATGTCAAAAACTAAAGATGAAGAATCTTCATTTTTAAAAAAAAGTTTATTTATTTGCTGTGGCATGTAGGATCTTCCTTGCATGGCGCAGGGGCTCTCTAGTTCTGGTGCGCAGTCTTCAGAGAGAGCAGACTCACTAGTTGCAGCCTCCGGGTTTAGTCGGCCTGTGGCACATGGGATCTTAGTTCCCGGACCAGATGTTGAACCCACATCCTCTGCACTGCAAGGCAGATTCTCGACTGCTGGACCAC